TAATTAGTTATACTACTTATTGTTCTTCTACCTTCTTACTGTAAGAACAATACTTCTATTAGTTTATTTAGTTACTATTATAGTAGTTAGTACGTATCTATTCTTCTTCTCTCTCTCTCTCTCTCTCTCTCTCTCTCTCTCTCTCTCTCAAGCATCAGATATTTTTAAATGGTTTGAATATCTCTTTCAAGCATCGAATATTCTTAAGTGGTTTGAATCTCTCACTCTCTCTTTCTCAAGCATAAGATATTCTTAAGTGGTTTGAATGGGGAAAGCACCAGATAGACCGACAAAGTGACAATGAATATTATTTGGTGATACCACACAAGCAATGCCTTGTTTGAGAAACTTTGACATGCCTTCACTTAACAAATTACTAGGTCCCTTTTCATTAACTTGAAGTCTCCCTGGTGAGAACCAAAATTTCTCAGATTAAACAACCTTCACTTTCAAACAAGGTCGGGCGTTCCCACAAAAGATTTACTTCAATGGCGATGAGTGTATGCTGCGGCCATCATTTACATATCCCTCACAACTGTTCGGGCCATGTATAAAATTTTGAGAGCGAGGGAGAGAGAGAGATTCTAGGCTAGATCTCAGCTAGTGGAATGTTGCTTCTTCTAAAACAGTATATTACAAATGTCTTGATTAGGCAATTGGGGTGGTAAAATGCTTACACCAAATTGTCCACACAAACACGCATTTAAACCATAGCTTAACAGTAAGAGTGATGTTTTATCAAAAGTATAATTCAAGCGAGTGCATTTGGTTCCACAACTATTGTAATTACAACATGTGTATAAGATTGAAAAAGCACACCGAATTGTCGAAATTGTCCACAAGAAAGAAAAAAGAAAATAAAAGAAAAAGAATGTGTATAAGGCTTTCTCTCTCTCTCACTCACACACACTCACGTGTGGGCAAACACACATCCTCGGTTATAATTTAACCAGAAAAGAAATGTTGGTTTCAAAGGTACCAAGTGAGGAATGCGTACAAAATGTTTTTCAAAGCAAATAATTTGCACATCAATAGCATTCTCTCCAATACATTGAAAATAACCAATAACATTTAGAGTATCTTATCATATGCTACTCAATTCTGAGGTGGAGTTGCAATCCAAGTGGGGGTGAACAAAAGTCATTCTACATAATTTCAAAACAACTAATAACATTTATAGCGTCTTCATATATGAGAAAGTTCGACCAAGTTTTCACAAGTTCCCATAATATATTTAGAAGCTTTCCATTTTAGCAGAGCTTTTCCAGAGCCAAGTTTTCATCTCCTCCACAGTTTTCTAATGCAGTTTGCACCTGGCTCTCTGAAAACCCCATCTCCACCAACTTTTGAACCTGTTCAATAACCCACACCATTCAAGAGCCAAATAGAATGTTTCATGATTTTATGTTAATGTATTGTGCCTTGTGAAAAAGATCAACCAAGATTAGACAGATGGAAAAAATTGAGAGTGAGAGAGAGAGAGAGAGAGAGAGAGAGAGAGGAGGAGGAGAGAGAGAGAGAGAGAGAGAGAGAGAGAGAGAGAAAGAGAGAGATTGTATGCTGAAGTCAAAATTCGCCAGACGAAAAAGAAGAAAGTGCAAAAGCAAATGATCTTAAAATCTTTCCAACGGCTGATACACCAGGGAGAAATACTAGAGAGAAATCCAATAGGTAACTTGTTTTGCAATATATTAATAGCATAATACATATAAACCAATTGAAAATAACTGGTACTGGTTATCTTTGTCATGCAATGAAGTAAAATATGAACCACCTGAGTTATGTTCCTCCAGGGGTAAATTATTCTCTTATACATAGAGCCTCCTATTGAAATATGGGAAATTTGTTTACACATAAAACTCGACACTACAGATATTTCCATGTCAATAATATACGAGGAGACAATTTAGCATTTCAGTTTACAATATTTTTGGGTTCCTGAAATGAAATTACCAAGGAAATAGTCTTTATACATTTAAAATTAGAGGTAAAGCATATCACTGTGCACCACCAGTATTACCTACAAATAATCAGTCAAGATCTTTACTAATATACTGAAAATGAATTATTAATAGGTTACAGCATCAATTGAGTTCCAAAACTATAGACTATATCCGTAAGCATACTTTCTGTATTTAACCCATTAGTAACTAAATTTAGAAGTCTCATTGACCTCGAAAATTTAGATGACTATAAAATTGTTCTACATAAATTCAGTAACTCAGATCAAAGAGTGTACAATAACCTTGTGCATCAGATATAGTTGCAATCCAGTTACTGAAAATAATAATATTGAAAGTAGAGAACCAGTATATGAATTCAATCATGATTAGATCATTTAATAATACTACTGGATTTTTTGATGCTATGATCCATTGATTAAAATATCCTCTATTATTTCCTTTTGGAAAGTTTTTGGTAGGATATATACTGAGAACTAAATCAGGTAGAGATGGAAATAGACAGCACGCTCTCTAAAAACATTGGACACTCGGGCCCCAAACCCTAGAGTAGGACACCTGGTTTCCTGGATCTCACACCTCTGCCCTCCCAAAACCACCTCTAACCGCTCCCCTATCTTTTTGGATACCTAACCGGCTATTAGGGGACCTAAACTGTTCCGGTTTGAATTGTCTTCATTAGAGGAACCTCACCTCAACTCTCTTATCCCCTCCAAGTGGGACCTCTTTCTCTCCCTCGGTAACGGAAACGGCAGGATTCAGGTTGCAACGTAAACTCCACTTACTCAAGCTAATTCTAAAGGAGTGGAGCTGTCAACTCCTACGGTCCTTCCACTCTCAAAAAGCACCCATACTCCAATCCATTCAGAGCGTCGACCTCGCCGAGGAAGCGAGGCCTCTTTCCACTTCTGAGCAGCAGTAGAGGTTTCAACTAAAGCTCAATTATCAACTTACTTAGAAAATAAGATATTTTTTGGGTCCAAAGGTCAAGGGTGAAGTGGCTTCACTTTGGGAACCTCAATACTTCATTCTTCCACAAAATTGCAAATTGTAGGCGTTGGATAGTACCATTACCCACATCAAAGTTGGAGATCATTTGTTCGACAAACCAGCTGAGGTTGAAGATGCCTTTATCTCTTATTTCAAATAACTTTTTCTGCCCCTTTTGGCCCTAGACCGAGGATGACATATTTTTCTTTCCTCACCCTCTCCCTTAACCAGGCCTCCTACCTGGAACGACCATATTTGGAAGAGGAAATTCTCTCAGCCATCAATAATCTACCTCCTGATCGTGCCCCCGACCCTGAAGGATTTGGCTCCCTTTAAAGCTTTTTGGGACTCCTTCAAAAACGACTTCCTCTCCCTTTTCGAGGAATTCCACACTAGAGGCATCATCCATAGGCCAATGAACGCCACCTTCATTACACTGGTGCCCAAAGTCGAAGGAGCCGACGAGCTCAAGGATTTTTGCCCCATCAGCCCTATCAATACATAATACAAAATTATTTCAGAAGTCCTCGCCACCCATCTTAGGGAGCTTCTCTCTCAGGCCATCTCTCCTTCCCAACGAGCCTTCATTAAAGACTGCCAAATCCTCGACGGTGTTTTGGTGGCTCATGAATGCGTCCATTTCAAGCACCTCTCAAAAGTACTTAATTTGGTCATCAAACTCGATTGAGAGAAAGCCTACAACCATGTGGACTGAGTTATTCTAGACGAGACTCTCTCTTGGATGGGGTTTGGCGATTGCTGGAGGTCCTGGATGAAAGGTTGTTACTCCAACCCCTATTTCTCCATCCTAATCACTGGATCCTCATAAAGGATTCTTCCCCTCTTCTAGGGGTCTCAGACAGGGAGACCAACCGTTTGGAGCAACTTACGAGAAAAATTCTTTGGTCGGGCGAGGCCAATGCACATAAGATCCATCTCATGTCATGGGAGAAAGTTTGCCAGCCTAAGCATCTCGACAACCTTGGCATCCGTTGAGGAAGCACAGTAGAGCTCTACTTGGGAAATGGTGGTGGCGTCTTGCTACCCAAAGAGATCAACTTTGGATGCAGGTCCTCTAGCATAATTACCGCCTTGATCCCTTCGTTTGGGTGCCATAATGTAGGGCCAACAGTAGATCTTTTGGGGCTTGTAAACCATTCTCACTTCTTTTAGCCTCTTCAAAAACCCCATCGCATAGATTCTGGTCTGACCTATGGATTAGGCACACCACCCTTAAAGACCTCTACCCATCCCTCTTCAACCTGGCGCATAACCAATTTCCCCAGTGGTCAACGAAATGCTCACCACGGTACCCTCAAGAACCTGGAAACTGACCTTTAGAAGAACCCTTACTAATTTAGAGAAAGCCAACTTCATTAGTTTTCTTCCACCCTTCACCCTACCTTCCTTGTCCCTTAGGTTCAGCACCTTATTATTTGGTGCTCATCCCCCTTAGGGGTCTTCCCGGTTTCATCCTTTTATCACAAGCTTCTACAACTGCCGACCTTCCCTCTATCCTCCACATCCATTGTAGCCCAAACATGGTCCTCCATCGCCCCATCAAAAATACAATTTTTAATTTGATATCCTTGTCTGAAAGGGCCGTCACAGTAGACCAGCATCAAAAGAGGAGCCTAACCATTCCCAATAGGTGTGTGATGTGCTATGCTAACGAAGACAGTAACGCTCACCTTTTCCTACCATGTCCCCTCACCCCAAAACTCTAGGATGCTTTCCTTCAACTCTTCAAGTAATGGGTCACACCTAAGTCCATCCCACTCCTTTTCAACTCCCTCCACCCAAGTGAAGAAAAATTCGACCACCCGGCTGCCTAGGCGAACTGGCCGACAAACCACCTAGGCTGGTTTGAGCGCCCACCTAGTGCCATCCCTAAAATAAACAAATAAAAAAAAAATTCAAATCCACCCAAACAAAAATAAGGCATGGTATTGCACTTCTCTCTCTCTTTATCCCTCTCTCGCGGGTCCATGTGCTCCCTACATAAGAGAAGAAGAAGAAGAAGATGGACTCCAAGTGTTCGATGTGCGGCCTCTCTCTCTCACACACGCATACACAAATATGCACAAAAGATACATATGGACCCATATGCTCCCTCTTTACATGCAAGAAGAAGAAAAATAAGAAGATGACCTCCCTCCAAGTATTTGTTGCGACGTCTCTCTCTCTCTCTCTCTCCATATCCTCCAAGTGTTTGAGACCTCTCTCGCATAAATACAGATGCAAAAGAAAGAAAAAAAGAGGATGATATTTCAGAATTTCATAAGAGACCTCACGCACACACTTACCTGCGCATGCACACACACATTCACAAAACACACACACAAAACAACAAATGGCCCCCACCCCAACCCCTTCCCTTACGGCCGACTTTGTGTCTAGGCGCCTACCTAGGCAGCCCAGACCCTTGGCTGCCTAGGCAACCGCCTTCGCCTTTTTGAACATTGCTCCACCCTTTCCCTGGCACAAAGTTGGCATCCTTTGGACTAAGAGAAATAGTAGGATTTTCCGTGGAGAAAGGTCCTCGCCGGCATCCAAGTGTGACCAGATTATGTTCCTGATTATTTTCTTGGCAACAACCACAAACACCTCAAAGTACTCCCCATTGGGCTTTCTTTCAGGATTGCCAAGCCTTACTCTTTTCAAGATAGGTTAGCATTCCCTTGTCCTCCCTTTGAAGGCCACCAAATCCAGGGCAGACCAAACTAAATTTTGACAGTTGCTCCCTGAGCAACCCTGGCCCCTCAAGGATTGATGACTTTTTGGGATCATGGGGGTCATATACTCGCCGCCTCCTTCAAAAACATTGGACACTCGGACTCCCACACGGCAGAGGCCCTCGCTCTCCTTGAGGGCATCAGATTGTTTAATCCCCCAGTGGAGCCTTTCGTTAGTGGTAGAGGGGGGTTGCAAGAATGACTCGCCTCCTTCTTCAAAAACATTGGACACTCGAACTCTCACATGGCAGAGGCCCTCACTCTCCTTGAGGGCATCAGATTGTTTAATCCTGCAGTGGAGCCTTTCGTTAGTGGTAGAAGGGGGTTGCAAGAATGGTATCAGCTAGACCTCTGGCTTCTCTCTACGCCTTTGGTCACTCGCTCACATATTTTATGAAATTGCGTACATTCGCAAGGATATGGACATCTCATGGAAGCAAATCTGGCATAAGGCCAACCAAGAAGCTGACACTCTCGCTAAGGAGGTTGCTACATCAGCACAGTCTGACCTCCCCTCTCAAATTAGTTCTTATACTGAGGGAGGACTCTTTTTGTACCTAGATCATCTCCTCTCACCTTTTCTTTAGAGCTCCAAACCTGTGGGAAGCTTATTTTTTGTATAGAGCTCCCGGCATGTGGGAAGCCTATTTTTCACCTACTGTACTTCTCTTTGCTTAATAGAACAGAATAGTTAAAACTGTCAAAAAAAAGAAAGATAGTATTGCTATAAAAATACAAAATCGCACTCATGAAATAAATTTGTTATCGAACGGAGAAGACTTCTTCCAACAATATATAATATATATAAGTAAAAATCCAAATAGGAAGATTAAGATATTTAGTGAATAATCAAGAAAAACTCAAGTTGAAGTATATCAAGAAATACATGATCCAGTATTACATGGTGAAATTCACACATGTAATATTGGTCGAAGAAGTACACTACCATACCAAGAGATACGCAAGCACGATACCAGTATGCAATGAATACTGTAAGGGAAACCTAACTTATTTATAACAATCACATGTAATCCCAATAGCAAGAAATCAAAATCCTGATGATAGTAACTATGCTACTTTTAATAGAACAGACCGTGAAAGCATTTAAGATTTAAATTCCAAGACTTAAAACGAACAATTTTAGGTAATAAGTGTTTTTGTACAAGTATTATCCGTATCTGTGATATTGAATTCTAGAAAAGATATTTGCCAATGCACGTATCTTGTTAATTATGGAAAATGAAAACAGTATATATGTGTATGTGTGTGTGTACTTGCAGCAGTAATGGGGATAAATACAAATTTTTCAAACTATGAGAAGAGTTACATTTTTTTTTTTTTTCAGACTGGTAATCACCAAAGTTTTAGTAATTGGCACGGAAAATCATCTGCTACCAGTGTTTCTTGTATTTAGAGAGACAAAATAAAGACTTTAAGAATTTCATGTAGAAATATAGTAATATTTGTAGCAAACAGTGAATAGAAAACACTGAATAGAGTTTACCTACAGAAAATCGCAGATAATGAACAAGCATTTGGAGAGTAGTTCAATACTGACCTCTTTCATAGCAAGCCAGCAACCAACCATGACAACTTGTTCCACAGGCTGTTCTTCCGGTATTACATTGTCCAGGGCCTTCAAGTCATTCTCAGAAATGTCAATCTCAACCGTTACATCAGGAAGAAAACCACCATCTTCAACTATATCACCTGACTCCTCAGGCATAAACCAGGCATCTGCAGAAACCACCCACAATGCCAAAGAAGTAATGCGCATGACCACTTCAAGGAGTTTCTCTAAGGCACCTTTCAATTGAAGCCTGCTTTCCATGACCACTTCAGAGTTCCAGTCCAGTTCCTCAAATGTGTACCTCAAAGTTAGCAATATTCCATGAACAAAGCTCTTCTCACAAGCCTCTTTTAGGTCTTTCTCTCCCTTCTCAGCTGCAGCTCGCAACCATTCAACCAGTGATAGCACATAGTCAGACACTGGGCTTCTAAATCTATGAGTTTGGAGATTTTCACTCATCTGAACTTGAACCCCTCCCAGCTGAGGATGTTCATAGACAACATTTGAAGAAAGTCTGATGATCCAACCATGCTCCAAAACATATTTTCGAAAAAGAAGTCGAAGAATTAGAGCTCCAGCATCGCTTTCTCTAACCCTTGGGCTGCATACTAGACCCTTTGCCCACACAATTATTTCCTTTACTGCATCTCCATTTGATAATCCAGGAAGCGGGGTGGGGTAATTCAGAAGTATACGGAAAGAACTCTCTCTCAATTTATCCCAACTATCTACTATACACCCCAATAGCAATAAAGTAACATATGGTGAAGTTATTACTTCATCATATGGAGGGACGGAGCTACCACTTTGTCCTTCATCTAAGAACATGGTTGGATTTATTGGCCAAACACTGATCATGGTCAAGATGAGTTCCATGGATATCGTCTTCCTTTCATAGGGAGCAGAAGGATAACAAGAGAAGAAAAGGAAACAGCTCAACCACTTCATAAAATGGAAGAGTTCTAAACCCCTCTTAGTATCATCATCAAAAGAACTGAAGCAAGAATTCAAAGGCCCCTGAAACATTGATTCTTGTGAACCTTGTTTTACTTGTCTATCCAATGCAGTTCGGACCCGAGAAAAGAACTTCCTAAACAGACTTCTCCACTTCATCTGGAAAGCAGTCGAGCAACAACGCATGTTCAAGGGGATCGCTTTTCTCAACAAACTGAGTTCCAAACTGGAAGGTAAGCTAGAAGTTTTAGGGTTTAGGAACAAGAGCTCAGCAGCATCTATTCTTAGACTATCGTCAACATGGGTAAGCGCCAGTTTTAGCCATTCCACGGGTATTTTTACAACAACACCCTTTAAATAAACAATGGCTAAACAATTTGAGTTTAGACAGTACTGTTCAGTCTTCTCTAGCCAATCAATGTCACCTTCTACCAAAGCAAGTGAACGCGATACCTTGAGCAAGGACACCAATGAAGCCACACGTTGATCCACAGTTAATGACATTTGAATATCACCAAATGCTGAATCAGGTACGCTCTCTTCGTCACATTGATTACCCGTAATAACAGTAAGCATATCAAATATACCATCAACATCTACTGCAAGAACCACTGAAAGCGCGTAAGTGTTCAAATTAGAGCGAAGCTTGGAGTGCCCAGAAATGAGACCTGACATAATAGGAGGCAAACAGAGCCGCCTAAAAGAAGAATATCCTTTCTCGACACCATCACTGTTCCAGCACTCATCTCTCAAGCACTCAAGAAAACATTTTAGGAATGAAGTGGCAGAGCAACACACGTCATCATCAGAGTATGCCTGAACAGTCTCGAAGAGAAGTCTCTCTCTCATTCCCAAAAGAGTCTTTGCACCCAAACGCTTAGCAAGAGAAGCCAAAGGGATATACCTGCCCTTGCACCGACCCCCCAGACGCAAAAGCTCAGAAGCAATGCTTAACAAATAAGACTTCTTCTTCCCATTCTCTTGTTGTGCCAACTGAGATCCCCCATCACCTTTATTCTTATGCTCTGGAACCAATGATTGAATATCCAACAAAATATCAAATATAAGATGAACTTGTTTGACAGTTTGGTTGAGAGGATCTTCCAAGTTATTCCATATGATCTTCATTATTCGGTTAGCCAATGCCTCAGAAAAGGGAATGTAATTTTCTTTTCTGAGGCAAACAATGTTTGCCAGGAGAGATGCTTTTATCTGTTGTAGTGCTATCTGGGTGACTGTCAGTGAGTGAAAATTAAAATGGCTATCTAAAGGATTTTCACAACAGTCACAAAGCTCTGGTAAAATCCCATCAAAAAGTATTGTCCAAATTGAACTGGAAATATGACTCACATTATATCCATTACATGCCTCAATAGATACTAAATTACTGGACTCTGCACTCTCACTCGATACAGTAAAAGGCATATTGAGTACCTCTCTGGGAATAGCTGTAAGAATCCCTCTTAATAAGCATATTCTACTCAAAGTAGAAAAGCTTTTGACCTCTGAATTCAAATCCCCGTTATAAAACTTTCTGCAATAATCAGAATCATCTAGTACTAAATGATTGAACTTGTGCATATATTGTTCCTTGATATCATTACCCATGGTGAATTTTAAACCTTTCTGAAGAAAAACTCCATACAGTATACACATGGCAAGTTCATGATGCTCAAAAGACACTTGGAGAGCAGCACAAAAGCTTACCCCGGCAGCCACTAAGCAATCCCTCGAAAAAGCAGATGACTTGAGAACATCTACAATGGATTTAACAACAATTCCAAGCACACCCATGTCTTTAAAAACACCCCAATTTGCACCTATGTATTTCTTGTAATCATTTTGACCCCCGAATTCAATATCAGAGGCCGAAAATTTTGTGGGGTATCTCTGAAGCAAGTAATACAAGCAAGACATGGCTTCTTGGCATCGTTCCATTGTGATTGGAGAGGGTCGGGCTCCATCATGAATCTCCATTAGTGTAGAGTGTAACCCAAAGCATATATCCATGGCTATAAGAACTGAAGAATTCTCAACAGTCTCCTTCAAAAACCCCAATTTTGGAGCACTGATGATTGATAGGGCAACACGAGCTGACGCAAATCTCCTCGCTTTCGCACCATTGAAAGCATAGTCCTCACATAACAAACGAAAACAACTTCCAATTAACTCGCTATGAGCTTCTACAGAGTGGCCCTTTGTTAACACAGATATAAGAGCTCGGTGCAAAGGCAGAGAGTTTTCGAGGAAAAGGATTTCAAGATAGAAAGGAATAGCAGAGGAAACAGCGTCACGACCATTAGAAACTAACTCTCCAAAAGATAAAGCTAGCTTCGTGATGCTATTTACCTGTGAGTAAACCGAATTCATGGTGGAGAACTCCTTTAATTTCACAAAGAAACTCAAGCCTGACAGCTCTGGAGCTAGGCTTTGCAAGTTCTCCATGTAAGCTTGGAAAAAAACAACTGAACCATAAGTCCACTTGTGCCGATGTTGCAGAGCTCTCCATTTAGCGGACATTTTTGGGCTTTCTCCAAGGCTGACTCACACTGATGTTGTTTGCATTCTGAAAATTAGGGTTTACAAAGTTTTGGGCATTGAAATTAGATTCAAAACCAGTCTTCCCTTACCGCGTAAAAGTTCTGATAGGGAGCTTGAATAAACACTAAGAAAGGGGGACGTAGGGTTTCATTGTTATGGACAGGATCTCCGCGAAAAGTATACACAGACACCAGTGAACCAGATGAATAAAGGTGATCAGTTGAAATGCATACCCATGCTATCGCAGGAGCAGATTGCGGTCTACTCCCTCAGTCAGAGGCCCTTTGGGAGGAACTTTTCCATGTGAAATTTTGAGAATCGCCTGGGAAACATTAAATAATTATTGTTAAAGAAAAATTATATTTTGAGGTTGTTAACATTTGGATCCTAAAATTAGATTGGTCTGTGCTCAATTTTGAGGAATTATTTTTTCAAGTGTACAGAGAGAACAATTTATAAAAATAAATATAAAATTTTATATTTTATATTTATTTATTTTTTAAATTTTTTTTGTTATTATGAAAATTTTTAAAACTTTTTATTATTACACCTATGACCGTTTCTTGAACTTCATAATAAATTTTTTATAAAAGATTAAACTGCCCAATTTTAGTTTTTCAAAAACCAAAATTTTTAAAATTTTTTATTTTTAAAAAAGCAAAATTTCAATAGATTGCTGGCCATAAATAGCTGATAAGCTTCCATCTCCAAGTGGTATGCAACACTTTAGAGTGAGCATGGTGCAGAGAAACTGTAATTATCACATGGATGTTTTTAGGTTTGATTTTAAGGTTCATAAATGATGCTTTAGGCAAAGAAGGTGATCACAAAATGATGTTTTAGGCAAAGAAGGTAATCACAAGAGTGCTGATGGTGGTTACGATAATGCCATAAGAGAATTTGGTAGTCCCTAAATTTTGATCCAACATCTGACAACGGAGTTAGTAGCGAAGTTGTTTAAGGAAAGTATAGAATGAGACCATTTACTTTTGATACAAAGTAGTTACAATTAATCTTGACTATTAGATTTGAAATTGGGTGGCTGTATTTGTTTCATTGACCAAGCTCAGACTTCCAAAAAAAAATTTTCAAATTTTGTGTCACATCCAAGCTATTAAATTTAGCATCGAATGGTTGTAAGTAATTGTGACCACTTTATTTCAAAAATAAATTATCTTATTGTGTACAATCCCTAAAATTAATTAGGTTGTAGTTTATTTTTAAGAATAAAATGGCTAGTGATCTTACAATCAACGATCCCAATAAAGAATTGGGTAATCCCCAAATTGTTAAAGATCAACCAGTTGGTAGTGTAGTAATTGGAGTTGCAGATGAAATTGGTAATAATCATTTAGAAATTGATAATTCTCGGTCATTTTTTGGGCATAGTATGATCAATTTCTTGTGGGTGTTTTTTTGGGCGTTAAGGGTGGGGCCATTTTCGATTTTTCAAAAACCGAAAATGGGTAGTTTCATATTTAAAAAAAAAAAAAATTGTTATGAAGTTCAAAAAACAGACATATATGTAATAACAAAAAGTTTTAAGTATGTTCGTACTAACGAAAAATAAAACGAATATTTATGTAATTTTTCCAACAAATTTTTTAATGAAAATGGTTTATATGAGGTTGCAACTTTGTATTATTGAAGTATGCTGCATATCAAAAATTCTCTAGAAGAGAGTGCTTCAGCGTTAGGGAACCCTCTAATTGGTCATCTCGATCTTGAGATGTATAGATAAAAAAGAAAGAAAAAGAATTTTCAATCTTAAAAATAATGCATTTTGTAACAAATTATCTAGATCATCTACTTTCAAGATTTTCAAATATTCATATATCAACTCAATAAACCATCATAAAGCTTATAATATTAAAACAACATAACTAAATCCCAGACAAATTTTAAAGGTGTATCTTCCTTCTATCATATAAAGATGTACAAACCTCGCTCCTTTTTTTTTCTTTTATTGAGGGCGGAGTCCAAAAAGTATTCTTCCATTGGGTTTTGTGCGAGGGAGTTGATGAACAATATTACCTTATAAAATCTTTTGCCATTTATAATCTAAACTTTTTGTCATGGCTCGAGTTTGTTTATCTTCCTCCTTTAATCCCTAAGGGGAAGCATGAATGGAGGGCTAAGAAATCCTTGCAATATCATCGAGGGTTGCCAATACTTCTTCAAAAGAGATCTTCTAAGGGATTGTATATTACGGGATCATTTATTTTTTTGGTACAAAGAGGGTGCAATTTTTTTAGCCATTGGATGTGGAATTTAATAGATAAAAATATGCAACATTGGAGATGAATAATCTACTTGCGTAGTCAGGTTCGACAGCTACTAAAGCTGTCGAAATTAGTTCTGCATCACAACTCTTGAGTAAGATGGAAGCTCACTAATACTCTCACAAATGTAATATGAGTAGCAATACGAGCTCGACTCTCACGCACAACTCTTTGTCACTCAGGGTCGGGTCTCTCCTTGTAACTCAGATAGGAGATTGATTGTACTCTATCTCAAGAGGTGCTCTCAAGTAAAGACCTCCATCCCACCCCTTTTATAGTGAAAAATGACGCTCTCATTCCTGTGGGAGTAACCTCCTCATGAATGGGTATCATTAGAATGCATGATGCATGCCATTCATAAAGAGTAACTCCCTCGTGAAGAGGTGCAACATCTTCCCACTTTCCGTCATGAAGTAATGTAAGTTATGAAAAAAGTGTAGTCTACATAGGTGTGCCCTCACACTAGGGACGCATTCTTCTGTCTACAATTTCAATAAATGAAACCCCATTTAATGGAAGAAAAAAGGTTTAAATAGGCATAGGACTTATAGTAAAAGGTAAAGCCTCACCACAAAAGTTTAAAAAACTTGCAGTTTTGATGTTTAAAAACCTTCAAATCGATCATCTAGACCTTGACCATTATGGTCGCATACAAAATTAGGATTTTAAGCTCTAAAAATAATGTATATTTTAACATATTATCCAGACTGTCTATTTTCAAGTGTTCACAATCCACAAGATTTGTACCATTTTGTGAGCTTCAAATTTGACAGCCAGTATTAAAAATTGATTATAGAGCCATTCTAGATATTTCTAATGCCCAAAGTGCTTTCCGAATATGGATTTGAAGTGAGACTTAACTTTATTTTTATAAAGCCTAAGCTTTATAGAAACTGTAAAATGAGTTAACTCTAAATTATTTGAGATAATCTCTAATATTTCATTTCCTTAGCAGGAGGTAGGAGGGGATTGTAAATCACGGAAAAATATCACTATGCGTTTTATGGAATTCCACATAGTTTATTTGTTTTTTCAGTGATTTACTGTAGATCTCAAAAATAAGAGATTTATTATGGATTTTTTGGAATGGGTTCATTTAATGTTATTATAATATCATTTTTTTAGGGGAATGAAAATCACAAAAATAAAAAAAATAAAAAAATCACTATGGAATATACTGAAATTCCACATAATTTCATTGTTTTTTCAGTGATTTATTGAGGATAACAAAAATAAGAGATTTCTTACAGATTTTCTGAAATGGGTTCATTGAAGACAATGTTCTTGTAATCGCATTGAGCGAGGAACTGAGCATTGGCCCGTGGTGAGTTATTCGTGTCAAAAAATAAAAAGGGTAAAAATTAGTTAAGAATAGTTAGAACAAAAGAAGGAAAAAGTAAATATAAGGTTGTAGAATTAAATATGTACTTCAAAAATCCATCGGAAGAGGTTGTTTTAATGTTGAAAAACCCTCTAATTGATCATCTCGATATCAAGATGTATGAATATTAAAAAAAGGGGACTTTGAGTCTCAGAAATAGTGCATCTTGCAACACATTATCTAGACCGTCTATTTTCAAGATTTTCATATATTTACAAATCTACTTGATTTTAACCATTTTTGGAGTTTTAAATTTTATAATTTGATATAAAAATAGATTTTCAAATAATTTCAATAATGTTTTATACCAAAATTACATATTATGATAAAATTTGGAGGTGCGCCTTAATTGGATTGTTTAACGTTGCAACCTTATAGAAACCACACCCGTGAAAGAAAAGGTGTGGTTTGTATAGAGCCTAGGCTCTAAACAATTAAATTAGAGCCTACCTTCAAATAGTGTCGAGAAATGTGGCTTAAATACTCAAAATATTTGTGATAGCCTTAAAATACATTTTAATCTTTATTTATAAAGTTTAAAGCTTAAAAAATAGTGTAAATCGACATATCTATGAAAACTTGAAAATTGATGATAAAAAAATGTGTTACAAAATAGACTATTTTCAAAACTTGAAATCTATTTTTTTTTCTCATGTCCATGTATCTTGACTTCGAGATAATCAATTTGAGGATATTTGGGGATTAAAATAACTTTGAGGATATTTGGGCATTAAAACAACCTCTTCTAGTGAAATTTTTTTAGGTAGGCTCCAATTTGATGGTTTAGAGCCTCGGCTCTATATAAACTTTTCCCTACTCATAGACATTAAAAGATTT